ACGCCAGCTAATCACCTTCGCTACGAAATAATTCAAAGGTTTGAATTTCCTTCCCAATTATTGAAAATTTTCAGTTCTTCTAAAAGCGAATTCAAATTAACCCGACAAAGTTCATTCAAATTCAGTCTGTTTACTTTCACCAGAAGCACTTTGAATTTATTCAATCGAAAAGTGATATAGCAAAATAGACTCGTTAACAATTTCACGGCCGCAAATAGTCTTTTGTTTTGTGATTACACATTCGAGAGTTTCTTCAGTCTAGCATTTAATTTAAATAAAGGATAAGAATGAGGGAATCAGAGGTTTTCTTTTGCACGGACGGCGGCCCACAACTATTGATGAAACATCATAACGAATAACAAGTATAATCAGATATCATTATATTCGGAGTGATCGAAATAAATACGAACTACCGGTATTTATTGACTCAATGTTGTTCGACACAGGGAAAACTAGTCGGTATGTAAATTGTGTATTACGGTGTTTATGATTAGTTGGGCATTTGATAACCTACAAAAAAAATTTTTATTCGTCGCAGTTACAGGCAGAGGCATGAAAATTCCATGTTTAAAAATGGTAAAAGTGTAGTCAGGAGATCTCATGAGTTTTAGAGAAATTGGTTGCCTCTGACTGTTGTTATTTTTGAATTTTTATTTTTTGTTGTTATTTTTTTCAAAAATTTTTTGAATTGTTGAAAAAATTTTTTTCAAAAATAACAACAGTCAGAGGCAACCAATTTCTATAAAACTCATGAAAATTCCATGGTTGTATGCTTCTGATATAGGTCAAGGGTCGAAATTTCTATTTCACCAGTTATTGCACCAATTTAATCTATTTAATTTTTGGATACCAATGATCGTGTTTAAAGTTAAATTTGTTCCGGAGGAACGCCATCTGGCGTTTTTAAGGAAAACTTATTTTCTTAACTGTGTTAATTTCAACCCACCCATCCATCCATTCAAGATTCAAATGTAGGGCACAATTTCTTTCCGGTGGACAAATCATTCTCTGTCATCCATTCAGCCGCTCATCTCAGTTCAGCGGTCACTCCCTCGCTTACTCACTCGATCTGTCAACAAGCAAGAGTTTAATCGATCAATTAATCAGTCATTTAACTAATGACTGGCCCCAGACAATTTCAAACTACGAGTTGCGTAGAAGAACACGAACAGTACCAATCACACAGCAAGTCCAGAAGAAGAGATGGAAATGGATTGGGCATGTGCCGCGCATGTGCTGCGCATGTGCCGCGCATGCCACCAGCAGCACTACCACGAGTTGCTCTCAGATGGACCCCCGATAATATAGATCAATTTATAGATCAATTATAGATCAATTTCTATAGCGCATTTCCATGTAAATGCTCTAATGCGCTTTACAACACTGTGCGGGGGACTTTTCCAGACTGCCGGCGGCAGTTTACAATTAATAAAGGAGAAATTTTTACAGATGCCCCCTCCCTCCCTTCCCAGTAAACAGGCCAGACCACATCACAGTAATCTCGTGATGTGGGTTCTTTAACGTCCCTTGCCGAAATTAACTAATTGATAGGTGCAGGAGACGGGACCTCCGGCTTTACGTCCTATCCGAGAAGACGAAGCAATGTGAGTGAAGCGTCTTGCTTAAGGACACAACGTCAAGCCCCAGCCAGGACTTGAACCCGGGCCATCTGACCTAGAGTCCAGCGCACTGACCACTGGACTACTCACGCCTCGATGGACGTAGAAAGAGAGGAAGACCGAAAGAAACCTGGATGAGGACGGTAGAAAGGTAAATGAAGGACAACAACTGGACTTGGGGGCACCTGGAGCGGCAAGCATCCACCAGACATCAATGGCGAACTCTGGTCGAGGCCTTATGCGTCTCTTAGTGACACGAAGAGGATTAATTATAATTATAATTAATTAACTAATGAAGCTATTAATCAATCAATCCGCAAATTTACATGTCAGCTTAATCACGAATCCATCTATCAGTTAATTGGTTAATCGATCATTTGATAAATTATGCAATACATCCCTTATTATTAATGAGTAGATCAATAAATCAATGATATGATCAACATGAATTTTGTGAAACAGTGGCAGAAAGCTCTTAGCTTCCACTCAGTTTTCAACAATATATTTTCTGCTTTCGGTGTGTACCTGGAGAAAACTTGTTTCCAAATCACATCCATTAAATTTTTCCCTTTTTCATGATATAGATATTGAAAAATGAACGAGGGCAGTGCACCCCCCGTCTCCTCTAAACCTTCCATCTGGCTATGGCTGTTCCGGCCGCTTTCCTTCATGGTCTTCTGTGTGGGCCTAGTGATGTTTGTTGCGGGGCTCATCTCATTCTCAATTCATGGAGATACTAGTGGACACCGGATCCTGCTGATTTCTGTTGGAGGCTTCCTGTTCAGTGTTGGCGTGTTGCTAGGTATTGCAATACGACGTCGAGTTCGATTGGAGGAAAGAGAATGGCATAATGACTTGCATCGTAACATCCATATAGTAGA